CTCGGCGTCAGTCTCATCATCATCATCATCCGGCTTTTGACCAGAACCCGAACCAACAACAACCAACCCGCAAAATGTCTTCATCCTCTTCATCTTACGAAAAAGCCTTGGCAAGGCTCGACGCTCTGCAATCCAACCGCACCATCGTGTCACTTTTTAACGCATCACCTTCTACTACTAAGTCGGATATCAATTCTCAAGCAATCCCGGAAATGTTATTCTGGCTTTCTTCCGCCGGTGTTACTCCTCAAAAAATTGCTGATGCCGGACTAAGATGCGTACATGTCGCCGGCACGAAAGGGAAGGGGTCTGTCTCTGCCTTTATTGCCAATATCATAGCGCAGTATACACCTCAGCAGGTGGGGTTGTATACTTCGCCGCATCTTGCCTCTCCCCGCGAACGCATAGCTCTGATATCTGCAGATTCCTCTTCCTCTTCCGATATCTCGGAAGAGAAGTTTGGGCAGTACCTCAACGAGGTATGGGACCTTCTGTCGGCATCGGCACGGGAGCAGAACCCAGAGTTGACAGAGGCAGACGGGCCGTCAACCAAGCCTTTTTATTTTCGTTTCTTAACTATTGCGGCTTTGCACGCATTTCTGGCAGAAAGACTAAAAAGTGCGGTGATTGAATGCGGGATTGGCGGGGAGTATGACTCTACCAACATTTTTCTGCCAGAGACGGTAACGTGTGCGGTTATTACACAGCTGGGGATTGATCACGTTAGTATGTTGGGAGATACCCTGGACAAGATTGCGTGGAATAAAGCGGGGATATTCAAACGGGGTAAAAAGGTTTTCACGAGGAGGTTGGATGGACACCCACAGGTGATGGAGGTGCTGAGACAACGGGCAGCAGAAAAAGGGGCGGAGTTGGTGGAGGTACCAGATGAGGTGGTCGAGGGGTGGAAGGGACTGCCAGAGGGGGAAGAGGCGAGGTTGCAGGGGCCTTTTCAGAAGGGGAATATGGTCCTTGCTGTCCATGCCGCCAGGGAGCATCTCTTACAGACCGGAGTGAAGTTCTCCGGAAAATTTGGGGAGGACAGCTGGACAATGGATGATATCCCCGACGAGTTCATCAGGGGACTGAAGCAGGCGTCGTTAAGAGGGAGGTGCGAGGTTGTGACGGATAAGCACGGCATAGAGTGGCTCATCGACGGCGCCCACACCGAAGACTCGTTGAAAGGAGTAGGGGAGTGGTTCGCCTCGCGCGCGACAAAGGAAGCGGTCAAAGTGCTCGTGTTCAACCAGCAAGACCGGGATTCAGAGCCTTTGGTCAAGGCGTTACTGGAGGGAGTCGGAGAAAAAAAGGCGTTTGATTATGGGTTTGTTACTACAAACGAGCTGCTGTCACGGCCTGAATCTGGGATGAGGAAGCAAGCCGAGGCGGAGGGGGCGATAAAGCGGTTTAGCAAAAGGACGAAGACGGTAGTGCTGGATAATGTGACGGACACGGTGGGGCAGGTTTGGGCACTGGCGCGGGAGGCGAGGATGGTTCACAAGAGGGAGGTTAAAGTGCTGGCTACGGGGAGTTTTCACCTTGTGGGGGCTGTTTTGAAGGTTTTGGGGCCTCAGTCTTGATTCGACTACTGACCTGGGACAGAAAGAACGTTGGCAATGTTGTGTAATGGCAAGTTACCTAGACTGCCTTGAGATTTTACCAGATCTCTGCTTGTTGATAAGCAGGACAAAACTCCGTCCTATATAACCCGTATCCGCTGTGAAGCTTTCCCAACCTGGACCTGTATCGTTGAAATTACAAGGTGTAAACTACATAACATGGCCGTGATGAAGACCAGTTCATTATCGCACCGCCCCTAGGTGACCAGCAAGAGCAGAGTTCAGAGAGCATCCGCCTTCTCCAGAATTCCCAGTGCGCCACCAACAAGGTGCAAACTGCCAGTGATAAGCGCCTGCACTTTCTGCCCACCTTCTTTCTCGTCTGACGCTGCCAGGGCACGAGCAGTGATGAGTGCCTCCTCGATACTGGGTATCACCCGAACCTTGGCGTCGGGGTCGAGTGCAGACCACTTCTCGGCAAAGATGCGCTGCTGTGTCATCTTTTCGATGTCTGCTGGGTTGTACTGATGGTTTACAAAGTCTGCTGAGCTGTTAGTCTCTCGCCTTGGCTTGAAATGGGAGGAAAGAGATACGTACCCCTCTTATACCCAGTCTCAGCATAAGTAACATTCGTGCAAAAAATAACCTCCTCAAACCCCTTCCCTTCGGGGTCCGCGTTTTTCACCGTATGGCACAAACCATCTAGAAAATCGACCGCCTCACTCCTCCCCTGCTGGTTGAAAATCAACACCTTCTTCCCCCCTTTCTTCTCCCTCGCCCCACACTCCGTCACGAACCACCGTGCCGCCATCTTTAGGGAGTCAACCGTATGCGCCCCATCCACATGCCAAATGATATTCCCCTCCTCTTTGACTTCACATCTCCCCCTCCACACCACTTGTTCAATTCCCTCTTTGAACTCCTTTGGCAGTTTTGCCTCATCAACCTTGAACTCTCCCCCGAACAGCTTCTTGAGTGCAGTTTCTGCGAGCGCAATCGCCAGCGTGGCATTCTTCTTCTGGAAATTCGCGTCAGGACGCACATTCACCCCCTCCAGCCGTTTATCGATCCCCAGCACCTTGAGCTCTACCCCCTTTTCTTCCGCTCGTGATTTAAGAACTGCAGCGGCTTCGGGGACTTGCTCGATCGTAAAAGCGGGTGAGCCGGTTTTCATAATCCCCGCTTTGTGCCAGGCAATTTTATCCACCGTCTTCCCTAGCACAAAAACATGGTCGATTCCCAGCGTAGATATCCCGCTTGCCACGGGGGAGGGGACGACATTTGTTGCGTCGTATTCCCCGCCTATCCCAGTTTCGTAGACTGCTGCTGAGACATTTTCTGACAAGAAGACGTGGTAGGACATGAGAGTGAGGTACCGCGCATAGATGGGTTTTGACGCCTTGGGGAGGACCTCTTCTTCCTCGGAAGGGGAGAAGGATTCCAAGCGGTCCCATACTTCGAAGAAGTACTTTGCGAATAACTCCTCAGATATGGGACGGGAGTTGATCCGAATTCTCTCGCGGACGGCGATCAAATGGGGGGAGGTAAACAACCCGACTTTTTGAAGGACAGAAGGGTGGGAGGATTGATAGCGGGAGAGAATGGAGTCGACGAAGGCGCAGGTGCTCCCCTTTCCTTTGGTGCCGGCTACGTGAACGATGTTGAGTCTGTCGAGATCAGAGGGGGAGTAGCCTATTCGCGAGAGATAGGCGCGCATTTCGGAGACAGAAGTGGCGTCGGGGCGGACGCCGGCTTTGCGGCGGGCTTCGATTACTGCGAAGGGGGTTTGCAGGGTGTTGAGGGCGTCGATTGCGTCCTTTTTCTCTTATGTCAGTACCGGGTTGGGGAATACAAAGGGATGGGAACACGTACATTGTAGGTCCTTGATTTGGTCGCCATTTTTCTTGATGTGGTAACAAAGTTGAGAGTTGAGAGTGTGAAGATGGTTTTTGATGGCGATGATGATGATGAGATGCGGGATGAGATGTAAAGTGTCCGCCTTAGCAGGACATGATGCATTTGTGGTTGTGAGAGCAAGTGTGTCGAGAGAAGTCAGTTGTTTTGTGGGTAAGTGATTTTCTCAGAATCGATTTCTCATCCACCGACTGAACTGCATTGAAGATTTGAAAAGTGACGATGATGAATGAATGAGTGGAATTGGCTTAAAGCGGTATGGTCCGGGATACTCCGGGCTACTGTCGGCGTGGGATCGACGAGCGAATGAAACCGCCGAAGTCGGGAGGAAAAAGAGTCGACGTCAGAAATAGTGGGTCTTGGTCAGAATTCTTGCTGCTAGAAACCTGGCTTGGCAGTGAACTGAAAAAAGGGGCTCTTTGCAGCTTTCCACGCAGTTCGAAGGTTAGAAAAGCAAATCAGAATGTATAAGCCAAAGTCGTAAGGGAGTGCTGTTCAAAGGTTGCAAAACTGATTTGTAACCGATTTTCAACACATTTGGCGTATGGCGCTCTCTGTTTATTTCCGTCTCGGTTGTCAGGGGTGCCCCCTTTTCGCTTCTGGGCTATAACGTTGCTGCTTTGAGACTTAGCACTATGCTTTTAACAGTTCTAGGATAATGAAGTGATATTTACGTTTGTGGCCCTCTAGAGTTCTGTTCCTCAGCCAGTTGGTATCTATTGTGAAAAAGACAATATGCTATCCACATCATTCAGAAAAGGGACAGCCAGGATTTTAGTATTCGAAGACCCCTTAACACCCGAGGGAAGGATGCACATTTTCTGTGTTTTGGTTTGCCAGTCGAAACTTACCTACCGTAGATAGGATTTCCTGGCTGACCAAATACGAGGAATGCTTCTCCAGTTCTTGGAAAGAGCACCGCAGCAAGAAGCAAGAAAGTCAATAGGGGCTCTCTCTTTAAAACCTACTACTGTAAGATATCGCCAAGCTTAGAAGTTGACAGAATGACAAAGGCAACAAGAACCTTTGTGCCTCTTAACCTACAGTCTCTTCCTGACTGTTTTATAGCCTTCTCGCTTCATCGACTAGGCAAGCATTGCTAATCATGATGTTCTAGACATCCTACCAAGTTTTCTTCTAAAACCGAAGCCCATATCCCATTCGTCGACTATGAAGAACACAAGCCGTGCTTGCAACAGGGACTGGTAATTCTTGGGACCATATTTCTATGATTGCCCTTTCTCACTGGGGCCCAACCATCTGCAAGCTTCAATCACGATAGACCTCCAGGAGACCTCAATGGCCATGAGTGTTGCCGCTCTCCGAAGCCCTGCATATTGTCAAAGCTCACGGGTCAGACGGTTCTTTGCCAAGACCACCGCACTCTCGGCAGTTAATTCTTCTCACAGCATCACTTCTCACCATCACCATCACAATTCACAACTTGCTTGAAGTTTCCCAAACGTTCGCGCGGTTCGACCTTCTCCCCCTTCACGAGCCCAGCTTACGAATGATCCATTCACTCAAGGCAAGATGGCCGAGCGGTCTAAGGCGCTAGCTTCAGGTTATCAGCGGATATCCTCATTGCTAGTCCGAAAGGGCGTGGGTTCGAATCCCACTCTTGTCATGATGCTTTTGCTTGCCTGATCACTTGGATCAGCCAGTTCCTTTTTGGCTGTTCCAGTTGTGGTGATGTCTTTTTGTTGGTGTTGTTGGGCTGCAACATCGGATGCTAAAGAACTGACACTCATGCAGTTACAATTTGACAGCCTTGACACCATTCCGAGATCGCAGAGGAAACTGCCGCAAATATCGATATGATTGATAACGGATAGGGCTCGAAGCTGGTGATTGCAGATGCAATACCACCCTTCATGAGCCTTCGTCCATCGATAACCCGATCACGCGCCGCCCGCTCTGGAATAACGACGGCAGCGGCGCGCCAATAGAGAAAAGAAAGAGCTATAGCTTCCCGCACTTGCATCCGCCTGCAGAAGCAGCATGTGCCGTGTCTTTTGTCCGTCAAAGGCGTTTCCCAGCGTAGCAATCCCAAGTAGCATGCTCTCAACCGCCAGACACAATTGACGAACAGCAGAGCAGTGTAACCAGGCTTCAACGCTCTCATCAGCCCATAATGCCTTCATTGTACAGTTTGATATCCTAGTCACCCACGCTCTCGGGCGCCCCAGTCCAACCCTGCGGCAAAATAAAATATCAAACATTGAACTTCAACCGACATTAACCATTGCCTTCCAAAATCTCTGACATCTCAGCTGATCAAGTTTTCGCGCCCCCTTTCATGGTCCCAACTCCCAAGGGCAAAAAAGCATTCGTGTCTTTGGTGATATTCCCTCGCTGGCGGATACCGCCGGAAATGCGCTCCGAATCTGATTGGAGCGGGTAAAGTCACTGGTTAAATCCGAAGAGCAGTTGTCAGTGCTAGGTGGTCGTGGGGTTAGGTTGGGTTCTGGTGATTTTTTTTTTAGGTGGGCTGTAGTGGGGTTCTGCAACGACAAGCTCCCGTCTATGTCGCTTCGGGAAAGCTGGAACACTGTCACTGAATCAACAACGGCGAACCACCACCACCACCAACCTACCCGCGACAAGACAACCAATCCATGGCGTAATCGGACGCGCGCGGTCTAGGTTCTTCTCTCTTCTGTGTCCAGGTTCAAGGTCAAGGTGGGTGTGGTGGGGGTTTTTGTGCATGATGTGGTCCAGTCACAGCATTTGTCCCAGTTCGCTGGAAGAATTGCCATCGCTGAGGAAGCTTCCCCTCATGCATCCATGGAAGTGGAAGCTCAGGCTCTCTCCATGTTCCATGTTGGACACGAACAGAAGAGGGGAAAGGGGGGGAGGAGACAAGAGAGGAGCTTGCCTCTCTCTATGATATCTCCGAGAAGCGGGTGCTTGGTTCTTCTCTCTGGGCTAAGAATTTGTATTTAATTCCATCCTCTCCTCTTCCTTCTCTGCTTTGTCTCTTCTCTTCTCTCTCCAGCGAAGCAATCTTTACCTGTCGTTGACATCATCGTCGAAAGCATCCCTGCTCGTTCATATCTCCCATTGCCTTTTGTCACCTTGACGTGTTCCTCTTTTTTTCTTTCAAGATACCCAACCCAATTCCTTCACAATGTCTTCCGTGAGTATTTCCAACTATCTCCCCAAGGGCTGAAGCGAGCAAAAGACTAATGACAACATACAGAACCTCTCTTTCGTCCTTAACAAGCCCAACGATGTCTCCTTCGAGGAGCGCCCCGTCCCCAAGATCCAGTCCCCCCACGATGTCCTCGTCGCGGTAAACTACACCGGCATCTGCGGCTCCGACGTGCACTACTGGCTCCACGGCGCCATCGGCCACTTCGTCGTCAAGGACCCCATGGTCCTCGGCCACGAGTCGGCCGGCACCGTCGTCGAGGTCGGCCCCGAAGTCAAGACCCTCAAGAAGGGCGACCGCATCGCCCTCGAGCCCGGCTACCCCTGCCGCCGCTGCGGCGACTGCCTGGCGGGCAAATACAACCTGTGCCACGAGATGGTCTTTGCCGCCACTCCCCCCTACGACGGCACTCTCACGGGATTCTGGGTTGCCCCCCATGACTTCTGCTACAAGCTGCCCGACAACGTTTCCCTCCAGGAGGGCGCTCTCATCGAGCCCCTGGCCGTGGCCGTGCACATCACCAAGCAGGCCCGCATCCAGCCCGGCAACAGCGTCGTCGTGATGGGCGCCGGCCCCGTTGGTCTCCTCTGTGCTGCCGTCGCCAAGGCTTTTGGCGCCACCAAGGTCGTGTCCGTGGACATCGTCCAGAACAAGCTCGACTTTGCCAAGGGCTTTGCCGCCACCCACACCTACATGTCCCAGCGCGTGTCCCCCGAGGAGAACGCCAAGGCCCTGATTGCCTCTGCTGATCTTGGTGCTGGTGCCGATGTTGTCATTGACGCTTCCGGTGCTGAGCCCTCTATTCAGACGTCTCTCCACGTCGTGCGCATGGGCGGCACCTACGTCCAGGGCGGTATGGGCAAGTCCGACATCAACTTCCCCATCATGGCTCTCTGCCTGAAGGAGGTTACTGCTCGTGGCTCTTTCCGTTATGGTCCCGGTGACTACAAGCTCGCTATTGAGCTTGTTGCTTCCGGCAAGGTGGATGTCAAGCAGCTCGTCAACGGCGTCGTTGCTTTCAAGGATGCCGAGGAGGCTTTCAAGAAGGTCAAGGAGGGTGAGGTCATCAAGATCCTCATCGCCGGCCCCAACGAGAAGGTCGAGTCGACTCTTGACACCAGCGTCGATGTTGCCAAGCTCGAGGCCGCCAAGGCTGCTGGTAACACTGGCTGCTGCTAGTTTTTTGGGGGGAGAAGAAAAGAAATGGTTCGGATTTAACATGGCGTTTCTTGGGAATATTGCATTGGGCTGGGGTTTTGGCTTTTGAATTATCATATCATCATGACCTTGAATTGGCATCTACCTCCATGGGAAATCTAATCAACATTTTATATAGAAGGAGAAAAAGAAAATGATCAAACATTCGACCTGAACATTGCATGGTGATCTGAATATGAAAAAGATCCATGAATCCTTAGTACTCTTACTCCACGCACACAGTCCATCATCCTGTCTACAAAACCCATCGTTCATAATATCGTTCCGTCTTCCGTCTATCATTTATATTTTCGACCCCTTATAATAGTCCATGTTTCTGTTTCGTCAATCCATATCTCTATCTCCCTCATCTCTCTCTACCCCCCGTTCCATCCAGTCATGACACTTCACTTAATTCATACCCAAATACCTAACCCCAAACTCCGTCCCCTTCTTCGCCCCCTTGACCCCAATCCTCACCACCTCTCCAGGCACAATATCCACCAAGTTATCCTCAAACAGAACCTCATCATCCTCACACTCCACCGCCACCCCCTTGACCGGCACCTCCGCACTGATCTCCACAGCAGTTCCATCCTCGCTCAGCACCGCCTTGAGTTCCTTTGGTTTCTGGAGGTGTACATACTTTAGCGGCTCCGGCCAGTTGACGTACCGCGCAATCTGTTTTCCTCCTGCCTTGTCAATGATATACGCAGCCACCACCACTTTCCCTTCCTCCCCCTTTTGTTTGACGGGAACATCCATCCCCACGATTTCCGTGCTCCTATTCTCAGGCAACTCCAACCCCTCTTTCGCCTTTTCGCTGTAAACTTCCTCGCCAGTAACCACATCCCACGCTTTGACGACAACATCCACCGTCAGGTTTTCAAGAGTGAGATTCGACCCCCAGATCTCGATTTGGGTTTTGGTGTCGATATACACCCTGGTATATTTATCCCTCGGGTGTTTATGTGTTTTCCTCGTGATCCCGCAGGAAACAGGCGCCATTTCCCGCTTGACGGTGAAATACGCCATTTTCGGGCGTAGATAAAAATCCGCGATACTCCAAGACGTGACGGGCCAGCAGTCGTTGATTTGCCAGACTAATGCGCCGCCGTTGTATTCCCTCCCCGGGCCCTTCCACTGTCTTTTCCAGAGACGGTAGGCTGAGGCTAGGCACTCTGCTTGCATGAGCTGGGTGCTGTACACAAACTGCTCCAACGGGTCAGGGGCATAGCGGAGGTTTTCGACGAGGTACAAAGCGATGCGCCGCTCGTGGCCATCGGCTTTGTTGTGGAAGTCCACGGTGGAAGACTGGGGGTAGCGGTCGGGGTCGGCTTTGCCCAGGGGCAAGTAGGCGTCGATTGTCTTGACAGAAGGAAAGGCTTGCATCCCGAATTCGGAAACAAAGCGGCCGGAGAGCTTGTCAAAGTCTTGCCATTTCTCTTGGGTGCCGTGCCAGACGTTCCACTGGTGGATGTCGCCTACGGTCGCGTCGTGGGTGTCCCTTCCTGCGCCCCAGGGGGAACCAGGGTGGTATTGCACCGACGGGATGAGATCAGAGCAGGCGTCGGAGAGGATCTTCTCGTAGATGTACCGCGCTGGGAAATCGGTCTTGAGCCAGGATTCAGCGTCCTTGTTGGAGTAGTCATAGGTTAACCCGGCGGATTCCTGGTATTGATAGTCTTCATTGTTGCCTGCCCAGATTACGATGGAAGGGTGGTGGCGGAGAGCCTTGACGTTCGCGCGCGCTTCCCGGTCGATAGACTCCAAGAGAGAGGGCCAGGCGGGGTAGTTGCCGCACCCAAACATAAAGTCTTGCCAAACCAAAACGCCGAGCTCGTCGCAGGCTTCGTAGAAGGCGGGTTGCTCGTAGATGCCCCCGCCCCAGACGCGGATCATGAATTGGTTCCCTTCGGCGACGAGTTTGATCCAGTCGAAGTATTTCTGGCGGGAAATGCGGGGGATGAAGTTGTCGGCGGGGATCCAGTCGCTGCCGCCGCAGTAGATGGGGATGTTGTTTACTTCGAAGAAGAAGGAGGTACCCGGCTGGTCGGTGAGGGGGCGCTGGATGAGGAGGGCGCGGCGGAGGCCGATGCGTTTGGTTACGCAATGGATTTCGGAGGAAGATGAGAGGAGGGTGGCGGTTAGGTGGTAGAGAGGTTGGGGGCCGTAGCGGAAGGGGTACCAGAGTTCGGGGGAGTCGAGGTGGAAGGTGACGCTGGCGGTGGTGCCGGAGGAAGAGGTGGTGGTGGTTTCGGAGGCGATGAGTTTGC